TACGTTGTTCAGGGTAAAACAACACGTCAGCTTCTCGAGACACATCAGTCGTTTCAAAAGAAGATGAAACGGCAAGACCCGGACCGAGCACAGTTTTACCCTTCACCGAGTCGATATCTGGACGATACTCGTTTCTTAGTTGTTGAGCTGGGAGATGCTGGAACGTCGCTAGAAGACTGGAAATTGACGAGCGAGAGCCAACTATGGGATATATTTCTCTTGGAGGCTATTGCTCTGGCGAGAGCTGAGGACCTTGTGATGTTTGAGGTAATTCATCCTGCAAGGCACATAACTTGATTAATCCCACTAACTTTGAGTAGCATCGTGATCTTCACGAGGGTAACTTATGTATCCGGCAAGTCAAGCCACCTCGAGACATGGGTCCTCCTTCAGCGGGCTTCTTTGGCTTTTCAGGCCTGGATATTACGATTTTAGACTACGGCCTGTCTCGTGGTGAAGATCTTTCCATTGAAAAAGCGAAACCTGTGGCCTTTGATCTCGAAAGAGACCTCAGCCTGTTTACCAGTACTCATGCAGCACAATGCAAAGTTTATCGCCGAATGAGGTCATTCCTTCTCCGTGCTGACCGTACATATCTCCCCCCAGAAGCTCACGACACGCCCTACGCTGAGGGTATTGACGGACAACTCTCATGGGACGCATATGCTCCATACTCGAATGTGCTTTGGCTGGCATACCTCTACGAATACTTGATAAGCCACTTCAAGGGTGATAAGAAGGGGCTTGCAAGATTCAAGAGAGAGACACGAGAGATGTGGAATTACCTGGATCCAGATGCTGGAGATGAGTTGCCCTGCTTCAGCTGTGCTGCAGACGTGGTATGCTTTGCAGTTGAGGCGGGGKGGGTTCGCCAGGAACAACTGAATGGTGTTGATGAGTCACTGATTGAAAGAGAAGACAGCATTATCGGCATGCGGGATGATATCAAGGACGTGAAGCAAGAGAGCGCACCAGCTAGGAGGTCAACTCGAAGGCAATGAGTTGGGGGTGCCATGTGTGGGATAGATTGGACGATAGAATGGGCGGTGTTCTGGTGATTGATTTAGGGTGGAGTTCATAATACCAATGACCTTTTTATGTAAACAACATCTATCTACAGGGCGTCTTTTTCTTCACATTGAAAGCCCACCAAGCCAATGTTTTTGCTAATCTTCCACTGGATTGCTCAGGACACCTGGTCTTGCTGAATATGGTAAAGATTCATTAAGATAAAGATACATTCTTAAGAGAGTACATATATGATTGACCACGTGAAATGTTCTTCCTCATATGATCTTATTTATTTACATTTTATTAGTTTTATTAAACTTTAGGAAGTTTGCAGCTGTCTCAGATAATATTGTAGTATGAGCGCACGGCGGTGCTGGGGAATCAAAAATGCCGATCACGTGAGAGACTTACTGAACATAAGAATTGGACTATATGAGCCTACCCAGGAGAGGCAAGAAAACATTGGACCTCGATCCTAGGTAAGTGACAAAAAGACTTGGGTAAGTTATCATAGGCTTAGGGCGCTTTTATTTTGATATCATGTATCAAAGTCTAAAGTTTTCCTGTTCCCTAATAAGGCATACCTCTCCGTACTATGGTAGGTCATTGGATCAGCGGGAAATGAAGACACCCGTTTATTAGACAACAACATACAACAAGCGGAGTAGATGCCGAACTTAGCCCTTCAGAAAGTTTGGAGCGAATGACTCTTGAGCTGCATCAGAATCAATAATCAGATTTCATGGGTTCACTAAGTTATTGAGAAAACCAATACAATATGCCGTTGTTGTATCCAGGCAGGTAAGGAAGTCTTGTCATCGGTACTTGAATACCTAGGTAATTTGCATACTACTTTATGTACCTATTACCAGCAAAGGTCCAATGTTTGAGCTGTCAACCTCGGCCGTGCTTCAGCCGTTGTCGGCTCCTCTTGATTGGAACTGGGGGATGCGCTGAAAATGGAGTCTTGCCCCCACCTGGAAGTCATGAAGTAGGTACCCGTACCGAGGCTAAAATTACTGGATTGTTTTTCTACCGTTGACCTGGTTGGCTGATCAGCTTTCCCAGCTTCCCAATTGTTATGTTGCTCCTACAAACCACATGTCACGGCCTTCTTGACTGAATTCGGCCCTGACGCGTGAGTCCCGAAATTGGCCTTTTGCCTGCGTTCCTGAGTCCCCGTACCTCTCTTGTTATTCCGACGATGCTCAATTGAATCATGAATCTGGGGTGATTCAATACATTTGCCCTGTTTCTCCTTTTGTCGCCCAGTCTTCCACCCAGCTCCGTTTCCGTCACATACCGCTTGTCCTCTATACGATCCGAACTTCAACTCTCTGCCACCTCCAAAAGACCATTACCGCCTTTTATGTGAAGACGATCTTAAGCCCCGGCAGTTTCCGTGCTAGCGATTCTGATCCCATTGCTCTCAAACAACTGTCAGCATGTCTTTTAACAACCACGCCGCTTACAGTCCGACCGCGATGTCATCGTCAACTGGACCTTCTGGCCTGTCAAACAGCCTCCTATCGACATCTATATCCTCTCTAGCTTCTTCTACATCCTCACGGCATCCTTCCCAAATTTCGAAGACCTATCGACAGGCCTCTACTTTATTCCTCACGCGTCGCTTGCCTGAAGCTCTGACGACACTACTCCCGTTGATTACTCCACCCGAACATGTTGACGACGGCGAGCCTGCGCCAGTTGCTCGAGCATCAAGAACGACTCGCATTAAGGTCTGGAGCCTGTATCTTACTATCCTCAATGGTATTGTCGAGTTAGAACCCGAGGAGGGCAAGGATGCGTTTGGAAACCAAGAATGGAGAGCCTTGTGTACCAAAGTTCGCGAAGGAGAAATATGGGATGAGGTAGTCACAAATGGTTACCATGGAGTGGAGGGCGATGTTGATTCCGACGTAGTCATTAATCTGTAAGTCGTTTGGAATGCGCCGAATGGAGACATGGACTGACTCAAGCAGCGCGACAATATTGTTGGCACATGCCCGTGACCAGAAGCTTAACCAGCACAAGCTCGAGGCTTATCTGGCCGCCTCCAACACACCAAATCTTGATGTCGCCGGGCGGCTCGCTGAATCAACGAGCTCGCCCATGTCGAATCGATATCGGTCTCCTGCGAAGGGGGCGAGTGGTGCCAACACGCCTAGAGATCTAAATGCTCGTGTCAAAATTCTGGAGTTATACACTCTCCATGTCCTCTTGCGCAACAACGAATGGGATTATGCTCGTGAATTCATCAGCGTCAGCTCAGTTCTAGACGAAGAGCGCCGTGAAGCCTTCCTGCAGGCATTACAAAGCCTTCACGATGAACAGCAAGAACAGGAAAGACTTGAGAATGAGGAGCGCCAACGACAAGAGAATGAGCTGAAGAGAGAAATTGAGGAGGCGAAGAGACTGCGCGCCGAGAATGAAGAGAAGGAAAGAAAGCGGATAGAAGAGGAGCGTCTGAAGCGCGAAGGGAGCGAGGTTGATTACGGGATCGACGATACGGCTAGCCATACCGGGTCAACTCGACCTCGGAAGGCCAGAGCTCCATCATCTTCGTCGTCGAGGCAGTCAAGGCCCCGAGGGACGAATCAAGCAGGACCTAAGGCAAATGGCAAAGCAGTCTCGCAGGCTCCAACTCTTACATCACGCGCTTCCATGGTTATCACACAACTGCGGACTATTATCGAACATCTGGGCTCCTCGCTAAACTCGAACCCAATGTTCCTATTAAAATTTCTGGCATTTGTTATGGGTTTGATTCTCATGTTGAGTAACACCAACATTCGGGAGAGAGTGAAGAGAATGCTTGCGGTCTTTTGGTCTAAGGTCAAGGGCACAGCTGGAATGGGGGTGAAGGTCAGTTACATTTAATCAATTCGTTCCATTGTATTATTCATTAGTATCTCATGTGTCACGAGGAGTCTCTGGGTAGAACCTTTCTTTTCAACCGTAGTGTATTTCTCAGGGGCGAGCTCTGGCAAATTTGAATAAGAAACATGCTAGTCAATTGTAATTACTAGGTAGCTCAAGAAGGAAAACGCGTTTTCATATTCCCTTTTACGCCTAAACACCTGTGATGACAGATCTAAGTTGACCATGAATCAACCAAACACCATAATGCACGGCCAGCCCAGGCCACAACTCGGCTAGTATTGCGTTGTACGATTCGTTTTCTTTTGGTAGAATAACTGGGAAGAGTATAGTCAGCACCCTGCTGCTAAGCCAGGCTACAATCGTCCAGGGACTACTCACATCTGTTCTCGAACTGCCAAGGTTTATAATCTTGGGACATCCGTCGCGATCCTTTTCAAGGCGAGTACATTCAAAACAGTAGAACGCGTCCGAGATGCCCTCACCACCGCACACAACGCATTTATTCTGGTAGTTGCCGAAGCTACATTCGTCACAAATGCGCACGAGCGTTGTGGGGCGAACGTAGGAGTCGCAAACTGGGCACTTGCCATCACACTTGTCACAGAGACGACCGATGGCAATACCGGCCTGTTTGCGACACATAACAAGATCGCTGCATGACAGTTAGCTGAGCTGCTATCACAAAAAGACAGAACCAATGGATACTTACGGATGATGGCGAGACATGGCTGTGATGAGGCGGGGAAACAATGTATGAGCTTTTGTTGTGAGACGCGCGGTCAGAATTAGTGATATGTTGAGGACAAGAGAAGGACGCAAAGTTCCGGTGTAATGTTGTAAAGTTCAAGATTGGAGATTTCTCAGCCTTGTGAAAGCGTTTCTGACAACTTCGAGGGGCGAGAGAGCTGCTAGCCAATCAAAACGGTGGGGACTCCAGCTCTTGCGACTTCCCACGACATCACATTCCCCACCTCTCTCAGCCTTGACAAGGGACATCACCAAGCTTCAGCCCACGTTTCTTTTCCATCCTGTCTGGTACAGTTGAATAGGCTGATTCTATGTCTAACTATGCGTGAATAGCTAGGCTTCTATAACGATGATCAAAGATGGAATCCAGAAATGAGTGCTTTTAACCTGAATTGCTCTTCTCTGTACCTTGCTAACCTTACTCTAGACTCCGTCCCTTGGATGATACCAAAGCAGACCACGAGCAACATAACGATACACTGTCTCAGTATGCACCGAACAAGGACTCCATGAAAAGAAAGGCTTCAATAAACGCCGGCGAACTCTCCCCAAAACGAACGAAACATGACGAATATTTTCGCGAAGCTCCAAGCGAACCACGGAAGAGGAACTCATCTCCAACCCGCCACAATTCATATGGAGACTCTCCAGACGTCGACATAGATCGCCGTAAGAACGCGACACAGGAAGAGAAGAGACGCGGGAAGCGGTTATTTGGGGGTCTTCTCAGCACTCTGAGCCAGACAAGTGGCAGTGTGCAGCAGAAACGCCGTTTGGAGATAGAACGCAGACAACAAGACCGGTTACAAAAGCAGAACATTGAGGAAGATAGGCTGCGTGAGGAGAAGCGACTGCGACTCACTGAGATTCGGAGAGGCGAACAACTAACGTTCGATGAGGAGGTTGTAAGTTGACCGCTGGGTTGCCAATTGCTGCACTGTATGGTTGACAAGATTGCATAGATGCATAGCAAGCATACCAAAATGCTTGCGATGGCTTCGTACCTACGCACAAAATCAAGGCCGCATATCGTATGTTGACGCAAACATCTATCGCTTCGAAATTGATATTAACACATCCAGTACTATCTCCCTTGGAAGCTCACTGCAGAACAAGAAGATACAATAGACGATCAGGTCCGGCAAACCAAGCTCACCATAGAACGCGAAGTTGAAAGTTTGAACGCAAGAAAAGGGCGACAGGCGAAAGGAGGAAGACAACCGATAGAGACAACAGCGCCGTTAAGGGAGGACTTGGATCACGACTCCAAAGACACGAATGGGCCCGAAAAATCGCCACATGGTCAAGAGAAGTCGATTCAGGCGTCTGATCATGACCATCACCACGATGAGTCGGCAGATGTATTGGAGGAAGCTGACGAAGATATGGTGATTTACTGATCATTGTCACTGGAGTGGTTCATTTGGACGCAGTGCACGGACTTCCGTCTTGTTTTGACTTGTTGACCTGGAGGAGGAAATCTTATTAGGTTATTCTGCACAACTTACCTATGTTCGGATTCACGAGAGAATGTAGAGATCTCATGTTCATGAAGGAAGGCGCTTTCTGTTGGATCTTTATTATTAAGCCCGATTGCTTTACCATTAATACAATTTGATACCCTATGGAAGTTGTCTCGGGGTTGTCTTCTTACCTATTATTTTGTTATCTTGTTGTCTACCTACTCGACCTCGGACTCGGACTCGGACAGACCGCTTCAGCGCCTCCACCGTCAACCCACCATTGACCTACACTGCGTTATGTAACATGCCGAGGACGAACGTATGCTTCGTTGGTTGGTGTAACGCAACAGCAACAGTGGCAAGATATGTATCTCTTAGCCGCGATTCGCAGTCCAATTATCCTAAATTAGGAAGTCCTCCCGTTCATGCCTCGGTTTACTCGGACTCCACCCTACAGCACATTCATCATAGCTGGCCAGGAGCCAGGATCAAACTCGTGTTATATAGAGTGGTTTTGCGCCGTGCAGTCTCGAGTTAACAGAACTGATTATACATTTGCGATCTCGGTCGTTGCAGGTGACTGGTACTTTCTTTGTAAGAATTCAGCTGGACAAGGGACTTACGAGTCATTCACAACGCGAAAGTGAGTACTGTATTCCAGCATGATGTAATTCAACACCAACTGGCTCCCCCACACGGACAGGCAACTTCATTTAAACCTCGAGCTTTACAACCATTAACAATCTTAACAGACCGCACAAAGAACACGGGACGGCAAGTTATTCAGTATGGCTCCTGATAAGCTTGCGCCAAACGACTCTCGGGTCAAGACCGAGACTGCCCAGATTCGGGGTAAAAACTACAAGTACATTGTTGGAGAGCCTGAGGGTACCCCGCTGGAGACAATAGTTCTCATCCATGGCTTTCCAGATCTTGGATTTGGCTGGCGCTATCAGGTTCCCTACCTTATGTCCCTAGGATTCAGGGTCATTGTCCCCGACATGGTGGGATATGGCGGTACTGATGCTCCAGAGTCGCTTGAGGAGTACACATACAAGAGCCTTTCAGCCGATATTAACGAGTTGGCTCGGAAGTACGTCGGAGAGGATGGACAGATCATTCTTGGTGGACACGATTGGGGTGGTGCTATTGTGTGGAAGGCCGCCTGCTGGTATCCTCAATTGATCAAGAGTGTCTTCAGTGTCTGCACACCTTACATGCAGCCCAGAGAGACCTTTGTCCCCCTCGAGGCTATCATTCAGAGTGGCCATCTGCTCAACTTTAGCTACCAGCTACAGTTCAAGGGCCCCGAGGTTCAATCGCGTCTCCAAGGAGAGGAAAAGATCCGGCAGTTCTTGAATGCCCTGTATGGCGGCCGCACACCCAGTGGTAATCTTGGGTTCTCTGCCAAGGACGGTATCTACTTCGATAAGCTACCGGAACTCGGTCCCTCGCCACTTGTCAGTAAGGAGGAGCTGGACTACTATGCCAAAGAATATGCCTCGAAAGCACCCCCTGAGCTGCGTGGCCCTCTAAACTATTACCGCATGCAGGAGCTCAACCACCGCGACGATGCAGAGGTGGCGAAGAAGGGTGGCCACAAGTTCGAGATGCCAGCTTTGTTTATCACTGCAACTGACGATTCGGCTCTCCCGCCGTCTATGTCCAAGGGAATGGACTCAGCCTTTGCCAACTTAACTCGAGAGGAGGTCAAAGCGTCTCACTGGGCGTTATGGCAGGCTTCTGAGGCTGTGAACCAGCATATCACGAAATGGCTTGATGGGGTGTTGGATGGCGCCTTGAAGGCAAAGGCATCTCTGTGAGCAGAGATCAGATATCCAGCCTCTGTTTTACATGATCTCAATAGATCTTATGCGCACGCACTGACCGACTTTCTGAACAAGGAGTATACGCCATTTTATGTGTCCAAACCTAGGCACTGGAAATTCATTTCACAATTTTCCTTGCGTCTCTATATCTGTAACAATGCAAATACCTACCTGTCACAAAATACAACGTCCAACTCATGGTAACCTCATTAAAGGACGTGCTATTAGTTTACAAAGGAGTTTCAAGTCTGTCGGTTCAAATTTTAGAGACCCAGAAGCTTTTTGAAAAGTTATTTGCTTGCTGTATGGGCTTCATTGGAGCCAAGAAGAATAGAAGCAAGGTATTACACCACCAAGAACTATCTATGAAAACGCAAATATAATAAGGCCGATAACCTAATTTGATAATAAAATACCAGGAATTTCGCAATCCACGATTTGATTCCCTTTAAGTGTCAATGTATAGCTAGCATTAATTTGCATGGTGCATGCCAACTTTCCTGCTACTGGGACTTCAGTCAACTAGGCACGCAATGTAGTCCATACCGGGATTATAACGGTCAAAGCATTCCTCTTTGTCTTGATCCAAGTATGTACAGCTCTGGTGATACATCCATGTTAATAAGGAAACTCATGAAGAAGCTAGGTAGGTAATCAACAATTGAGTTCAGATGCCCTTTACAGCTTAGCCTCAAGATGCCATCAGTTAGGTTCGTCTCCACCTTGCCAAGCTATTGGAAGGTAAGCTCTCCGCATCACCCACATCGCCTATTTCTTTGCCTCCTTACGCCGTGGCCTCTTGCTCTCTTCGCTTCTTCCCCTCCTCCGCCACGACCTCTTAATCCCCCTGCCCAAGACTCGAAATGGCATCTTTCTTGAAGAACGCCTTTGGAGGTGCAAAGGCCCCCGAGCCTGCGAGTCCAGATTCCGGTTAGTCTCACCAAATACTCTAAGTATTTGACAATTGCGCAATATTGCGACGCGCAAAGAGTGGAATTGAATATCATGACTGACACGCGGCATCCTCGTCTAGACTTCGCAGACTTCGCCGAGGCTCCCAATCCAGCTCCTGAGGCCGCTACACAGGATGCGACAGCTGGAAGTGCTGCTGCCGCTGCCGCTACGGCTGTTCCATACACCAAGTGGTACAATGTCCACGAGCGTCACTCCCTTTCCGAGTTCAGGCTTGAGGGCATCATTCTCCTCATCTCGAGTTTTATCTTCCTCCTTCATATGATTGGCGCTCGTCGCAATCGCTCTAGGGCCAAGGCTTGGATTCGTGCTCACGCCCCCGTTCTCCAGAAGGAGTATGCTCTTGTCGGCTTCGGTGGTGTACCCACCTTGGACAACGAAGATGTCAATCCCGATACACTCATCAAGGAGAAGTCCCTCTTTGAGTTTGCAACGTACGCTACTGGTCGACAGAACACGGCTTTCACCGACTTCAAGCTCACTCTGACCAAGAAGTTCAACCCAATTGTCAACGGCTTCGAGCATGTCGCAAGCTTTTTCGTCGAGACTGTTGATGCGCCTAAGGATGCCGTCGAGGTTCTGACCTACCCCTTTGATGGCAAGGAGAGTCTTACAGTCCCCTCTGCTCCTGGTGCTTCTGAAATCCGCGCCAAGGATGCTAAGAGCACCTACGATGGTTTTGTTTGGGGTGTTGTGCACAAAGACGTCATGCGTCGCGTCCGCGACGACCGATATGATGTGTCTCTCACCTTCACCAAGGATAACCCTAAGCTTCCCGCTTGGCTCACTGTCATGAGCGAGAGCGCCGAGATCACTGACACGCTCCTTACCCCTGAGCTCATTGCCGCTGTTCAAGCCGCCGGTGACGTGTTCGAGTACCTAATTATCTCCGATCAGCCTGTCGATAAGCCTGCTACCCTTGAGGAGACGACTCCCCGCAAGCGACTCTTCCTGAAGTACGCCCTCCCTTCCAATGTCAATTACGACAATCTTCTGCCTCTCTTCTCTCACTTTCTCCAGCTTCCCGATGTTCTTGTCAAGGTTGCCCATTTCCGCCCTGAGGTTTCCAAGAAAGTCCGCAGCACCCGTGAGCATGCCATCAGTGAGCTTAAGAAGACCGCTGAGAGCCAACGCCAAGAGGAACTCCTTCTTGAGAAGGAAAAGGCCCGCAAGGCTAAGCGTGATGCTGAGCTCAAGGGTCTTGATGCAAAGGCGCAAAAGCGATACCTCGAGAAGGAGAGAGAGAAGGAGATGCGCAGATCTCAGAAGCGACAGACACAGCGTGCCTAGAGCACTCATTTCCTTGTATAAATGGGCTGGTTTAAGAGCCAACAGTGAAAATATGCATATTACCATGGCGGTTTCGTGTACGGGTACGGAATTTGTAACAGTAGTTTATTTATCAGCCTAATCTATGATGATGCTTGCCTTATCGCCATAAACATCTCCTGCTTTCCCCCCCTTCTAGCCATTAGGCTTTGAGTGCATTGGGTATAGAGGCAGGTTGTCGGATTTGAACGATGCGCAATGGTATCGGTGCGAATAACTAGAGTATTCACTTTTGGTATGCGAAAGTGTGCACTTGCTTTTCACCAGGATGATCTCTTTCTTTCTGGCTTGCGCCAGTACAAACTGTCGTTCATCACCGTTGAGTTTGAGGTCATTGGTCAAAGACCTCTCGTGGCGGTTGCTTGTAAGTACTCAAGGCAATTTGAGGAATATAACAAGTTTTAGATTAAAACCAGTGGTATTGGTTAATCAAGAAAGAAAGAAAAATACGGTTTGTGTTTCCTCATACTTTTCAAGCAGTGGCGTTCCAGCCCGCGTGTTTGCTATTGCAATATCCGTTCTGTTGAAACCGACTTGGCAGGGCAGAACCGAAGACAGCTGATGAGGTCATGGTGCCCGAAGAGTGAGGCAATGGCCTTATGTTTCATAATGTACAACAGAGCCAAGATTGCTTTGATAATGCGAGCAAATACCGGAAGTTATGTTGTACCTCAAACCAGCAGTCTTGTTGTTATCCGGGCCCTCCGCAGAATATTGTCCCGTAGCAGAGCTATGCTGACAATGAGTACGTGGGCTGGGCAAGTCTGATACTCCGATGGTATGCTTTCTCGGCATCTCAGCCGTACA